ATAATCAAGGATTACCTTGACGTTCTTGTCCTCGTTGCCATATACCATGCAACACTGCTACATCAAGTTCCCAAACAAATTCTGGTAGATTGTACTTTAGGTGTCTACGATGTACCTTTTTTTTCAGTGGTGTGATGATTATAATGAAGGGTTGAATTATGGAGAAAACTTAAGGCAACAGAGCGTATCACTGAGGACTCAATCTCTTCAATAGCAAGAAGATGTCATCGTCAATCGAGAACAAAGGGTTATTCAAGAAGCAATTGTTGATGAACTAAAGTGTGTGCAATGGGTTTTCTTTTTCTTGGGTGTAATCAATGCTTTACTTTTTTTAGTAATACTTATAAAATGTATTTGAAGTAATTAGGAGACATTTATTAAAATTATTTATTACATAAAATGAGTTCGTATGTCCATTTTGTAATGCTGTTTTATCGCAGAACCACAATTGAGCATGAAAATACAAGAGCATGAGCTTCCCTCCTATGTCTGACATGGAATCTGTGTTTGGGGAAGGGATAGCTAAGGTAAATAGAAGTTCTTCTATCTTGGATGGTGCTAACCTAAAATCACCGGCTATGGGGGATAATGAACCGGAGCTAGAGGCTGAGGATCGAGATTGGATGCCACAATATGTGGAGGGCAATGCAGTGGATACAAAAGATATATCTGAGGCCGATGGCGGGGATGTTAGCGAGCCCTCCTCTAGGACCAGAAAGAGGAATTGTGGTTAGTCATCTACATCGGGTGGCTCCTAGGAGGCAAGTGGGGGCAAACGCAATAGGACAACTGGCCCATGCACCTAGTTCATTATCGACCTTCATGGATAAGATGTTAGAACATTTAGATAAGGTCTTGAAACATTTGGCCATCTTTCAGACAAAATGCATGGATGTTGTGTCTGATGTTTACAAAGAGGAAGGTATTGATCCACAGTTATACATAAGGGAAGCCGACTTATTTGTGGATCCCAAGAGTGTTGTATATTCGTATCCATTGCTCCGCAGTACCATAAGCTATAGTTGTAGACCCATATCCCGCAGTAGTAGTTCTATGTTGGTTGGTTATGATGTTAAACTATGCTCACTTGGGACATGACTGTTTTTTTTCTTTGTTTTTTTATTATGCGTCAGATGATTTGGATGCTTTTGTTTTGCTTAGGTGGATGGCCTTTATGTGGATGACTTATTTTTCTATGCTTTATGTCGATGGACTTTATGAAGATGGTTTATTTTTCTATGCTTTTTGTGGATGGCCTTTATGTAGATGGTGTATTTTTCTATACTTTATGTTTTATTTTTTTATGCATTATGTGGATTTTTTTTTTTTTTTTTATAGTTTATGTGGATTGTTTTTTTTTCTATAATTTATATGGATAGTTATTTTTTAAGGTTTTTGTGGATTTTTTTTTGTTTGTAGTTAAAGATGATGGCTAGTTTTGCATGGTTTATGTGGTTGTTTTTTTTTTGCATGGTTTATGTTTATATAGATGGTTTTTTACTCATGCATGAAATGTACGCCTATGTTGGAATTCACAGGTTAGACTGTCAATATGGATCCATATGGGGTAAATGAGATTTATGTGAGGTACATCTACGTGATTCCAAGGAATTCTGTTCACACATGTTCTTTGACTGGTGCGGCATTTGTTTCATATTTAATACAATCTCATGAGAACAACTGTTTCAATTTATTGCGGATGGATACATATGCCCTTCTAGGCTTGTGTGGAATTTTAAAAGAAGGTGATCTTCTTTGTAATTATTGTTATATGATGGTAGAAGAACAAGTAGACATATTTCTAAATACAATCGCTCACAATGAACGTAATAGGGTGATGCAAATTCAGTTTCAACATTATGGGCAAATTATTAGGTATTATTTCAATAGAGTCCTAAATGAAATATTGTGATTGGCTCCGTATTTTTTCGTCCCTATCTCATCTGACACACCAAAGAAAATCGAAGGGGTTATGAGATTCTTCCCTTTTTTCAAGTCTAACGATTATTTTGCTGGAATGGACGATCTGACGTTTTATTGTGGCGGTCCAAGGATTATGTTAATGGGCGGTCTGGTGTTTTGCAGGGGAGTCCGGCGTTTTGAAGGGGCAGTCCAGTGTTTTGAAGGGGCAGTCTGGCATTTTGAAGTGGTAGTCTAGCGTTTTGAAGTGAGCAGTCCGACATTGTACAAGTGCGGTCCGACATTTCCTTATTGGGATCCGAAATTGATTTGTTATGTACGAGAATGGTATTTTCATCCAAACAAATGAACCTTTTGTATTGGGGATATTTGCTAGGAAATATGGTTTTTGGGGGGGAAGTTGCTAGGAAAAGTTAGGTTGGGGGTAAATTGCTTAGAAAGTTTATTTTGGGGGGCTTTATGTAATTTTCCCAAAAAAGAAATCCAAAGTTAGTCTGGTTAGAACATGAGCTTGGCTGGTTTGGGACTTAGCGTGCCGACCAACACTTCGCAAGCATGTATCAAATCTACTTGGCTGGTTCGAGCGACCAACACTTCGTAAGCATGTATCAAATCCAGAATGTCTATGGGCCATTTTGGAAAAATAGGAAGAAAGGGTAAAAAAGAGCTGTGTGTAAAATGTAAAAACTAGGGCCTAAATTTTAAAAACCATAAAAAAAAGAGATATTTACAAAATTTCTTCCTTTTTTTTTTCCTATTTTACTAAAATACATATATTAAGTGTTAAAAAAGGTAGATTAATAGAATATGGTGTGGTTTGCATAAGGTGTCTATGAAAGGAAAAAATATATTGTCTATCAAGTTAATATGGAAGGTGTATATTATAATCTGTGCATATGAGAATAGTTGGTACAATATCCTGTATTTTATGGTAAGTCTGGGTATCGTATAGGTGTCTGTAATTTATTTATGTTATTGTCATCTATATTTGTCTATATAAGGTAAGCTTGTATATTCATATCGATTAATGGACACTGAGTCTCTTCCGAGAAACTTGATACTCTTCACATAGTATCAGAGCCAAATTCATCTTTGTTATGTCCATTCCTATATAATCGAGTATGTTACACGATCATGTTCTTTTCTATTATTTGATCATATTCTTTTCTGTTTGATCAGAGTCAGTTGTCTTGTTACTATACCATCTCTATTGGCTCTTTCAAGTGCCAATCTATTTTCTCAGCTATCTCAATTATGTTTCTTGTCTCTGTGGTTGATATGAAGCTTTTCGTCTACTACTCAAACATGCTCTATTCGAGCCTTCTGTTTCTGAGACTTAGATATGTCATTGCTTGAGCTTGCCATATTTTGTTGATCCTACGTACTTGTTAATCAAGCAATATAAGTATGCACTTGAAAAACCAACTGCTCGTTTCCGCAACTTAGTATTCAAACTCTAGCTGCTCTCTCTCAGAGCATCTTGAGCTTGAGGGAGAGTGTGAAAGGAAAGAATGTATATCTATGAAGTTAATATGGAAGGTGTATATTGTAATCTGTACATATAAGAGTGGTAGGTACAATATCCTGTAGTTTATGGTAAGTTTGGGTATAGTATAGGTGTCTGTAATTTATTTATGTTCTTGTCATCTGTATTTATTTAATAAGGTTGGAAAAGTTTATATATTTATATTGATGATTGTCTATATAAAGTAAGCTTGTATTTTCATATTGATAAATGGACATTGAGTCTTTATAGAGAAACTTAAGACTCTTCACAGTGCCAACCGTAAATAATCAAAGGCGTGCCTCCGAATTTTTTGATTGATGTAGTTTTAGTAGTGGAATTTTTTATAATGGGTCGAAAATCTATTTTCGGCCCTAGTTGGTGCAGATCTATAAATGCTTTAAATCTTAGAAATCAACAGTCCATATAGTACATTAAAGGGTGCCGTATGTATAGAGCCGAGGCTCTAAACAATTAGAGCCCACCTTCAAATAGTATCGAGAAATGTGGTTTCAATAATGGAAATATTTGTGATAGCCTTAAAATATATTTTTATATCTAATTATAAAATTTAAAGCTTAAAAATAATGTCGATCGAGCAAATTTATGAATACTTGAAAATCTTGAAAATTGACGGTCCAAAAAGCATTACAAGATACACTATTTCCAAAACTTGAAATCCATTTGTTTTCTAATGTTCATGCATCTTGATATTGAGATGATAATTTGAAGATATTTGGGCATCAAACCAACCTCTTAAATGAAATTTTTGAGGTAGGCTCTAATTTGATTGTTTAGAGCCTCGGCTCTATATAAACTTTTTCCTATATTAAAAGATGCAATTGAAATTTTCATTTATTTAGAACCATATATTTAGACGTGAAGATGACCTAGCATTGAAACGACTCTTTTTTATGGGTTTTTTGAGTAGTCTTATTTCTAAGTAAAGGGTTGATGCCTTTTACAAAATACCACAAAAAAAGAGAAGCTCGACTTGAAAAAAAAGATAAAACACACCTCTAAATACTAAAGAACAACCTGGAAGGTTGTTCCAGCATAAAAAAATCCTATAATTGATCCACCCTCAAAATCTATGGATCCAAAAAATATTTTGAAGTTTTAAAATAAGTGCATCTTAAAACATATTATCAGTTAACTTTTAAAAATTTCCCTTATTTACAAATTTGTTTCATTTACATTTGTTTTTTAGATTTAAATTTCATAAATTTATCTTAAAGTAATATTTTAGGCCATTTAACAGGGTTTTTGGAACCAAAACTCATCATTAGACCATATTTAGAGGTACGCCTATGCTGACACCTTGTACAAACCGCACCAAAAATACTAAAGCTCGAGCTCCATAGTCTCGAGGCGGACCATGAAAGCCGGTTTACAGTTTCTCTCTCACGCTGAAGTCTGAACACCATCACTAACTCTCTCTTCCCATGCTCCTCGCATGATAGAGAATCATCTCTCTCTACTCTGGTGAGCCCTCCCACTTTCTCTCTCTAAGCTCTCTCTCTTGAATTACTTACTTTCCTATGCTTAATACCGTGAGATGAAATGAGAGCCTCGAGAATCTGTTCATCATTTCTATACGGGCGTGGGCTTGTCAAGCCATAACCACTTCCACTATTTTCTGCAACTCCTCGCCACCAACCTTTCTGCATTCTCTCTCTTTCAAAGCTTTGCACTGCTTCTTCCTCTATTGTTGAAAGAAGAACCGATTCAGATACAGTGAGTGCAAGGAGAGAGAGAGAGGCAAATTGAGTGTTGCTACCAAATGAGAACAGATGGTGGGTTGGAAGAGGCTTTCTCTCTTTTCAAAGGTATGCTCAAATCCTCAATCAAACCCTCTCTCTTCAAATGTTGCATACATTGGTCAAGTGTTTTTTTCAATTCCGGAGGTCCTATTTTGGGCTTGCGGTTATCGGTCTTATTCAGAAGCTTGGTTACCCTCTCTCTGTTATCCTATTGAATATGGTGATGAATGGACGGTAAAAGGACGGGTGAGTCGCGAGGGTGATAGAGCTCTTCCATGGCATGGAGAATTACAAGCTTTTGCCTGATGTCTTTTCATTTAACACTCTGATCAGTGGGCTCTGCAAAGCCCATAAAGTGAAAGAAGCTATAGCTTTGCTCAAAGAAATGGGGAGGAGAGTGTGTCAACCAAACGTCGTGACCTATAACATACTCATGAATGGTCTTTGTAAATCAGTATAATTAGGGCCTCTTCACAAATGAGTATAACTCGGCCTTTCTCTCAAACAACAACTCAGTATAATTAGGGCTTTATCTCAATCAACAACTCAAATCAGAGAGAAAAACCACCTTCAAACTATCACAAATCAGCATATCATGTTCTTTTCCTTTTCTCTCTCTAAAAATCAGTTAAGGCATCTTCCATTAGGGTTTGTGAAGCCGATGAACTGTTCCTTCTTCCTTCTTCTCTCTATATAAACCCAAGCCGATGAACTTTTCCTACTTCCTTCTTCTCCCTCTATAAACCCTAATGGCGATGAGCCTCTTCCTTCGTCCTTCTCTCTCTCTCTCTCTAAACAGTAAACACAGAGATATGAAACCCAAATTTTAAGGAGCCTATTTTCAATTAGAGATATTTATAAAAACTTTAACCATAGTTATGTAATGACTATAGTCACCATACTATAGTTAAATCACTTTATTTTTTTTTGTTCAAGCTAAGTAAGTGTGATGTTTTAACTTTTAAGTATTTAATGAATTTATGTAGTTTGTCAACCTACATAGTTAAAGTATTAGTGAATAAATTTATATAGTATATTTGTTTTTGGTATGTAATTAGTAAATGGGATGTTTCTTAAAATAGTTAATGGGTAAATTTATATGGTACATTTTTTTTTGGTATATACTAGTTGATTATGTATTTAATATTAGATAATTGGATGAGAGTCACGAGTCATCTAAATTAATTGACTCAATTATATTAGTCTAGTAAAGTTTTTATGGATGAATTAGTTATTGATAGCTTTGACATAATTTTTATTTTTTAGAATTTTAAAATTTCTAATATTACAAATTTATCCAATTTTTTTACTCCGATTTTTTGAGCCTAATCCGATATATTAGCGATATCTTTATATCAGTATTTTTTCTGATCCATATTTTTTACCCAATTTTTTCATCCGACTTTTAAAATAAAAATGATTTATTTTCCATTTTATGATGAGCCGATTTATTGATAGTCCCCAACGTGCTAACTATGGTTTGATCACATATACGAAGGACTACTCTATAAAAGGGTGTCAACTGAAAGCTCTAGGAAGGAGATAGTCTCATGGATGACAATATTTTTGTCAGTAGGGTTCTCTCTCTCTTTGAATTATAATTGATCTCATAAGTTATTTTTATACTTAGATCATAAATGAGGATTTGATCTTATTCCTTGATGCCTTAGATCAATGGCACATGAGATGCTTTTATTCAAGCCACTCATCAATGTCTTATCAGTAAGGTCAATGAATGAGCTTTTGACACATTTCATTCCTTAAAATCTAGGTTTATAGTCATTTTACCTTAAAGCTTCAATTTTTATTTTCCATTAAGTTCAAATACATGTTTACAATTATGCCCATGATTTTTTAATAATTTGTGAGAGCCAGTAAAAGACAAGGATATGGACATCCACACATGTGAATTAAATATCTTATAACACCACCAATAAGATTTAACAACACTAAATTTTCACATGGGTCAAGCCCATAAGGTGGTGCCACATAAAATAAACCCACATGCCATAAAATCATATGTGGATAATAATATCAAATCAAATTAATTCTCAAAATCTCATAACTTCATACATGCCAAAAGTGATACATATGAGCAAAGAAAACACGTGACTTAAATCAAACTTAAATCATAACAATATATAACATTTTAAATAACAAGACAACATATTATAACATAAAATCAACAAAAGAATTAACGACAAATAGGTCCCCACATGGATATGATGTCAGCATGATGTCATCCACGAGTGGAGAGGTGGATTTGCTACTTGGAATCCTTATGGCCACTTGGGATCCATGTGGCATCTCCATAGGATGTCTTTGTTTGGTATTTATATTAAACAAATTTAAAAATCACATTTTTATTGTTTAAAAATTATGAAATTTTTTTCAAAAATCTCATAAATTCTCCAAATGATTTTTCAACATTATTACATAGTTTCTCATCAATTTAAAATATTTTCTCATTAATTTTAGATTAATTTAGGCTAAAGGTAAATGAAATATCTAGACTTATAACACTAGTCGGAGTCTTCCATTGAGCTAACCCGAATGATGTTCCACCTGTGTCTTAAGATGACCCAACAGACATATGCTCCACAGTCTATGGCAGTGACACATAATTAGTCATATCAATTTTACTGAGCTAGAGCTTTTCGTCATCGGGGGTTCAATGGATTATTGGTGCACCCCTATGGGACATGTTCCTACTCAAATACAGGGATCATCTCAAAACACATGTACACTAGCTCTTCTAAATCGGATAATATTATAGAAGAGTGGCTTCCCCATATGACTGTGGGTGCACATGCCACGGAACGATCTCGTGTTAGGATACAAACTCATGTCTCAGGAGCCGACCATTCCATACAGGATGAATACTATTTTAAATACTCGGGTTCTATTATTCTCGATTGGATCCTCCAATCCCTAGTTTATCACATCAACTGTGAGGCATTCTAATCAATATAGTCCTGACTGGAAGGTGACCTTCACACCGCCCCTAGAGTTCATACTCTTAAAATGCATACTCAATACCTCAAATACTCAAGGTATATAAATCTAAGCTCCAGTGCGCCCAGCACTCAGATTCAATATCTCTCTAACTCCTAGTGAGCGTAAAACTTTTGGCTTTAAGGTTTTGAAATGCCACATAGCCAACATTCTCTCACTTGGCCTTTTGAGGCCTTATAAACAATTATCTCTCTTATTCTTATACATAATGAAACAATTTAAGTATCCATTCTCAACTATAAAAACAATATTCATATCAAGCAGGGAGCAAGTCTAAACAACCAAGTTAACATTTTCAATCTCACGTCATGCACAAGCATAAACCATTGTATGCTCCATACACATAGTCAATCAACATGGTCCACTGGCACGATCAATAGTCATGAACTAATCAAGTGCGATCAAACATATCTACTCACAAGAGCAAATTGTCATGAACTCTTTCTACCTCTGGTGTATGTCACATAAACCAAAACTCACTATTTAAATGTCATGTAATTCATATGTCGTCATACTCATGCCAATGCCTCACATACTAATCTAATTGGTGTTAATACAAGAGTAATCCTCATTTTCAACAATCACATATTCTAATAATGTAATGGGTATCCTTAAAGGAAAACAAATATGGGAAAATATGGCATGGCAAAAAGTATGGCATTTGCATAGGTAGTATAGTTGATAAGATATATATTATGTGCTATAGACTTCCCATCACCAATCTTATGTATCTACTATGTGTTATTACGCTTCCAAATTGCTTTTAAACAAACTTTTATGTGCATGTTTATAACAATTTATACTCATAAAGATTGACATATATGTTTGCATCTATATTTTTATTAGCTCTCTCAACATTTATTCATTTGCTCAAAGGTTCATAACTCGATGTTCATATCAATTCTCAAGTAACACAGATTTGTACTTAAACAAAAGTTCATTAAAATCATGCTTTAATCTCATGCATTGTTCTCAAAGTTTCCTTAGTCATGGATTGATATCTTGTCCATTCAAAACCAAAGTATGGGAGTAGTGCTTGGACTTTCAAGCATTTCATCATTCAATACATTAAATCTCTTATTGATATTACACTCAAATTAGATGGTTAGTATGTGTCATCATGAACCTATTAATTAAATCTAATCCCAAGATCAATAGAGATTCAATTACCTATGTCCGAGTGACCAAGAATATTATAAGTTCGAATCAATTAGAGGACAATATCTCATGCAATGTGGGACTTATCAAAGTTTATTTCATGGTAAACAACCAATTGCATTAAGTCATATGCATAAGCTCTATGTATAGATAGTCACTATCAGTGTGACTAGCCCACAAAATGAGGTATCCTTGTCATCACATGATCATATCATAATCCACATATAAATATGCAGCTCTACATAAGGTCTCACATGATATTAAAAACATTTTCAAGTGGCTTATGCGTGCTCTACTAAAAGGCCTATTAACCTTAAAGAGACTGATAGAAGCATTCGAGTGGATTATCCATGTGAACGTGAATACATATGATCACCATGGCATGAAATGCATGTATAGACAAGTGAAATTTACTACCATAATGTCACACAATTAATCATTGAAAATTCAAAAGTCTATCAAAGAGATGCCCCACAACTCTTACAAGTGGCTTATCTCTAAGTAATTAAGACTTCTCAATGTGGTACTAAATGAAAACGCTGATACTTATAATGCAGCAAAAGAAAATGACCCATGAGTTCATAAGAGGATCCATTTTAAATAAGGGGTCAAACACTCCTTTCAGCTTTATTTACAAATCATTTTTATTCAATGTCTCTTCTAAGTTTCTCATAAGTGAAATTGATTTGAGATATGAGTTTTTCCAAAATCAATACCAAGGTTCTCTCTTTGAGAATGATTTTACTACTTAGACTTACTAAATATGCTCCCATTGAAACCAACAAGGTTGTCTTTTAAAATAATTTGAATTTATGTCTTAGAAAGCAATTTACTTTTAAGAAAAACTTTAAAAGATCCAAAAATAACTTTATTCAAAGATTAATGACTATGAGATACTCCAAAATATTATGACACAAGGTTATGTAGTCATACCATAATATTAAAAGAATCTTTTTAAATGTGATCTTCCAAATGGAAGGAACATGGAGTTTCGCATAGTCGTAATGGAAAGACAATATAAAGTAGCAATACTCTTTAATGGGAAGACAATACAAAGTAGCAATATCAAAAAATGAGTTGAATTCTCCTTTGTGGTTTTTAATATCCTCTTGTAGTTAAAATATTTGAAATATAGAAATCCTCGTTCAGAAGAATAAATATTTAAGATAAAACTCTTTCATCACATTTCCTTAATTATTACAATCCATACTAAAAATACATTTTGGTTCGATTGATCTCAATTTTCAAAATAATTAAAATATGTATATTCTCAGGAAAGAC